TTAACATTAGCTCTTTGATTTCATTATAAACTATTTTCTTAAACTCTCAACATGACATTAGTACAGACTTTAAATGTAGATCAGATTCTAATTAGGAAACATTTGCTGATTAATCTGAAATTATTACAGAAACAAAAACACATGAACATAATCACCGTTTCCTGTTCCTGGTTTGGTTTTCCTCTCTTTATCCTTGGAGATCCTGATGTCGCTGTAAGTGATGTCATCATCTCCTCTTCCTCCTTTGTTACCTGAAATAAATACAAAGTTACCAGGAATTTTTTTTAAAAACATCTGAAATCAGGAGATTTAACAAAGAGGTTTGTTTTACCTTTAGGTTCGTTATGAACTCTTTGTTTCACCAGTAAAACCAGAACAACCAGCAACACCAGGAAAACCAAACCACAACCAGATCCAACAAGGAGAGTCACTAACAGAGAGACAGAGGCAGAACCAGAACCAGGTGGGTCTGTAGAACCAGAGATGCTGCTGGGTTGGTCTGGAAAGAAGAAGCTGCTAAATAACCGTCTGCTGTAAACATCAAGACTCAGAGATGAAGGAGAAGCTGCTGACCTGAGGAAGAGGAGGAGGAGGAAGGTGGAGAGGTTGGAGGTTTCCCTAGAATAAAGAGCTTTGGTTAAATATATGACCAGATTGTGGATTCTCAGACATGATCAATGAGATTCACTGTTAGAGGATGACCTCTGACCTTTGACAGAGACCCTGCTGGATGGAGACTCTCCAGAACCGCTGATGCTACATTTATAGAGGCCTTCATCAGAGCTGGAAACATGGAGGAGGGTCATGCTGCCTGCTGATCCATCACCAATGAAGGAGCCATCTTTATAGAAAGCAGCTGGGAGGTTGTGGTTGGATTCCTTGCTCTGCAGCTCAGAGTGACGTCATCTCCCTCCATCACAGGGAGGACAGGACTCTGCAGGATCACTGATCCTTTCAACACAGAGACAAACTACAGCATTTCATCCATTTCCACACAGCAACACTAACTCCACAGTCTGATCTTACCAGAGACAGAGAGCTGGATGCTGCTGCTGCTGCTGCAGCTGCTGCTGCTGCTGCTGCTGCTGCTGCTGATGCTGCTGCTGCTGGAGGATCCAAAAATGAACTCACACCAGTACAGACCAGTGTCCCTTTGGAGGAGGTAGGTCAGGTTACAGGTGGAATCATCCACTGCTCCCCATCCATCTCCACATGGCTTCCTGGTCTCTCTGCTGGTGTTTCTCCTCACTGTCCATCCAGCTGATGTTTTCATCCTCACAGATCAGAGTCACTGATTCTTCTTCAAAGAACTGGGATCTGCTGGGACTCACAGTCAGCTGAACTGGGAGGACTGGGATGGAAGAGATAAAGAATGCATCTGTTATTCCAGCAGTTATTCTTTATTATTATTCAGAGAATTGATCCAGAAAGATTTTATAATATTTAAAAGGTTTTATGTGAAAATATTTCAAACCTTGACCTGATGTCCAGAACAGCAGTGAGATCAGAACTGAAATGAAATAAGTTTTATTTTTAAAAACCTTTCAGCATAAAATATTAACCAACATCAGAATTTCTACATGAATGTGATTCATTTTAAAGTTGACATTTAAAATATTTTAAAAACTTCTTGTGTCAATATTTCAATTTACATGTTTTCTTCTGGAATATGTAATTTTGTTTCTGCTGTCAGTTTGAGTTTGCAATGACATCATTAACTTTTTATGACACCATATTTATATTAAATATAAAGAACTAATTTTAATATTCTGACATTCAAACCACTTTTACTTCTTGGATACTGGATATTCTCCTCGTCTTCACATCAGTTATTAAACATTATTTCTGTACTTACAGATCAGACGCTGAGCAGCTGCTTCCTTCATGTCTGCTGACTTTGACTGGACCGTTTCACTAGAGAGTTAGAGGAACCACTAGAGTCCGCCTCTTCCTTTATGCATAATAGTTTTAGTGCGTTTCTTCCAGACAATGCTTTAGGACACGTTGAGCTGCTCCTGCTGCAGGAAAAGGGGTTGCGTAGTTGGATATGTGTAGAGCCAAGTGTCATCAGCTGAAACGTAGTCAACTGGTTGCTGTGCAAATTGTAGGCTAGTTGATTTGACTGAGGCAACATTACGATCCATCTGCCTTTTCATGTCTTTAATCATCAACTGAAGTCTATTATTTTCCTCTTGCAGTTGCTGCACAATAGTCATGAACTCATGTGGGATACTGGGTAACGCTTTACACAGGTGGCTGCAATCTGCTAATAAAAGGCCACAGTTGCTCTGGTGATCACTGCACTCAGGCCAACAAAACTGAAGGCTGTGTTTTTCCTTCGTCACAACCCGGCATCTCCAGCATTTTAGAATGGCAGTTGTTGTGCTCCCTTTAGTTAGTGTTCTTTAAATGGTACAGCCACCACTAGCATCCGCTCAAAATGATAAAGTTTGCAGCTCTTAGTTTTCTGTAATAGAGCTGAGTGTTCTACAAAATACAGAAGACAAACAAATGAAAGATATTATTTTTGCTCACCACAAATGGCTATTACCAATTTGTCCAGCAGATGGCAGTAAGAGACAACAAATAAACTACAAACCACATTATCACCACTTCAACTCTTAAAATTGCCATACTATATATACTTAAGGTGCACAGATAAACAAATCTTTCTTAAATAATGATTAAACTTACTTTTATTCGTTTATGCACTCCCAGCCTCTGGAACATCAGCTCTGGATGGTCTCCAACAATTACCTTGTCAACTAACATTGAACATGTGTTCTTTCAACAACTATTGGCAGCTTGACACAACAATGAACCAATCACAGCAAAGCTTATTCAGATGGCTCCCTGAGCCCTTATAGTGATACACACAGTTACATTAGTCCATTTTTCAACAGCAGCGTCAACAAGCACATTTTAATGTGCATTTTTTGCCATCTTGGAAATATGCAAAGTTTATTGAGCAAGCTGTCTTTTACAAACCCCCTCTCCTCCAAAACAATAGAATAAAATCAGTTTTCAAAAGTATTGAAAAAAAAATTTTCACTGAACATGTGTGATTATATAAAATTTGCTGTATTCAACAAGTCAAAACAAATATCTCCAACAATGACTTAGGAAAGCAAAAATATCTTTATTGGGGAAATTGTACATATTTATCAGACATTTGCTCAAATATTATTTATTCTGAATTGCTTTAACTATGTTTCTGAGTGTGTTTCCAGGAGGCCTCACTGAAGGAAGCAGTCGACATGAATGTTGTGAGAAAGACTGCGGCTGCAGTCGGTTTCAGCAGATAATCGCTCTCCAAGACGTTCCCTGCCCTTGGCACAAAGATTGTGTGAAACTGTGTAACATATTTTCCAGATGATATGCTGCGTAATTCTGAATCATGTTGCAGCTGTGACATATTTTTTTCTTAGAGTTGCAATATGCATTTAACTAGGAAACGCCCCAAAACAAATACAAAGAGAGGATTTGACAAGATGTGTTTCAGAGCGGTAGGAGAATGTAACTGAAACACATCTCTGTCCGTCTCCTTGCGAGTAAAAAGAATCTAACCTTCGTCTTTCCTGTGTCTGTATCTGATGTTCTAGGTGTTTAGACCTGAGAATCGTTACTGTATATTTAAAATAATGTTTTCTTGTAGTTGTATTGTTCGCAGCACAAATGCCTGAACAGTGACTGGGTCCCGTCATTTTGAATGTGAAGTAACAACACAGAGCTATTCTGTGGCCAATTCTCACATTTTTGCATGCTTGTAGACCTGTGCACTCAAACCCTTATGTCCACTTGACTGAATCCACATTTCACAGAGGGGCGTAGTGCGCTGAGCTTTGGGACTGGGCCTGAAAGACCTCCAGACGTCTAATGGTGTTTCATTTTGACGTTTGATGGCAACATACACATTGAATGTCTGAACATTCAATACTAGCTGGGAGGCTACTAATTTTGTTATCCAAGTTTAAAAGTGTGGAGTACTGATTACATTTACCTTAGCAACTTTTTAGAACATGTACTTAAGAAAAGTTTTAATGCACTTTTTTCCTTACTTGACAAAATTATTATACTCTTTCTTAATTGGATTGATTTTGTATAAAGAAATGGACTTCAGAGATTGGAAACATTAAATTTCTGCAATATATGAGCGAATGTTTATGAAAAGTTGAGTTTAATTATTCAGCATTTTATATGTGTCATTGTTTATATCCTGTTTATTTTGCACTAATAAACATGGTTATTTTATGTGAAATGTTACATAAAGGTGTGTTTACATATTTATTATTAAAGTAAAACTTTGTTTCACTGTAATGTAATCTACCCCCCCAAATAACAAACTGTTCTGTAGCTGCGGCTGTGCAGGTCTGTGATAATCAGCTGGTCTGCCCTCCAGTGGCGGCAGCTCCATGGTCCACCTTGTGGTGAAAGGAGGAAGAAAATACACCCAAACCCCAGCTACACAAAAGGCAGTGGAAGAAGGAGGGGGGTTGCTCCTCTACCGCCACCAGCAGGTCGTGACGGGCCGTCTGAAGCCGGGCATCGAGGCGTGTATCGAGTAAAAAGGGGGTGTAGCTCCAAAGTGGCACACTGGCACAGCTTCCTTTAGACGGGCTCTTTATGAAACGCCATGGAAACTATAAAAATAAAACACAACAGGTGACACGTGTTTTAACAAAGGTTACCTCGTGGCCGCCTGCCACTTCGGAGGTCTTTAGCAGATCAATTCTTCGTCGTCCACTCTAATTAAAATATTAAGTAATTTAAACACCTTAACCACAAAATATTACAAATATAATTACAAAACACCTGGACAACTACAGGAGACGCGAGGCTGCTGCACGTAGCTCGATACAGGTCTTGTGCGAAATTCTATTCATTTTAAATAAAATTCAAAAAGAAAAAGAAAAACAACCCACAACCCCGGAAGTATTTTTTGGCGCATGCGTAAATGAGCTGAAGGAGGGCTCCTGCTTCTGGCTAAGGTCATGCTGCAGCGTTGCAGCCACACCCTGTCCTCTACTGCGGATCTCTGTCGCTGTGAGTTTCTGACTTTATTCTAGTTTCATCTCCTAACTGGTTGTTGTTCTGTTCTAAGTTAAACTTCAATGTGTTTCGTTATAATGTTTTCCTCTCAGAAACGTCGCATGAATGTAAATTTGGGACGGAGAGACCAACCAGGAAATGTCTTCTTCCTCTCTGCCTGCGTCTCTGTTCCTGCTGTCTGTGGTTTTCTGGCAGTTTGTCGCTGCTGCAGGTCAGATTCAGTCACACACAGACAGATTCATCAGACAGATTCATCAGACCACTGAAGCTTTAATCCCAACATGTTGGACAGTTTTTATCCTGGTTTAGAGATTTTATAACTTTATTCCAGCACCGTTTAATTTCACTGTTTTAGGTTATTATGATCTTTTTGTCTCACTGATCATTAATACTAGAACTAAAATGAGGACATTTTACTGAAAACTATTCACTAGTTGGACAGAAAGTTGATTGATTCAGAAAACTCAGTTTTCAAGCATATTTGTTTGTGTTTCCAAGGACTTCATGCCACTCACAATATGGTGGACACTCAACGTGTTTCTACTGCTGGTTACCAGGGGAAATCAGCCTGTGGACAACATGGAGTTTTCATGTTGTGACTAATAGATTTAGTTGCAACGTTTTTTAAATTTAGAGAAAATGTAAATTTATTTTATGAATCCCTGCTTTAATTTTCAGCCCAGTTATTATTCAGATTTTTACTTACTTATTAATTCAGTCACATCATTTTGTTGGTTCCAGTTGTTTTCTGAACCGGATGGTACCAGAACCAGATGTCTCTTGTTCTGGATCAGTTCAGGTTTCTGGCCCGATATCAGCTGACGCTGCTGTGACTTTTCTCTGAAGCTCTGAATTTGTGTTGTTGTGAATTTTAAAGTCTTAACATCAGTTACAATCATTGATAAAAGACAATGCAACAATGCAAAAGCACAAATCATGGGACATGAAAGAGGTTTCATCTAAAATGGCACAAGCAATGCCAAAACTCCATGAACAAAAAGCCTGTTATCAATTTTTATTGTTAGTATTTACTAACAATATTGCAGCCTGTGTAGTTACATGTGGGCCGCGCAAAAGTGATGCATTGTCATACTTTTGCGTGGCATTTCAGTTGTTTTTGCGAGACTAGCAGGAAGTGTATTCGAAAATGGCACAGGAGAAGAAGTGCCGTCAATACTCGATGAATACCTTGATTATGGGTTCATACCTTGTTCAACAAACACAAAACTTCCACAGTGTTCACCGGGTGAACAAGTTTTCTCCAATGAAGCAATGAAGCCATCATGTCTCAAGGAACACCTTACGAGGAACCATGCGGACAAGGCTAACTAGGAGCTTCTTTCAGGCTCTTAAAGAGCAGCATGTAGGAGAAGCATCACAGTCTCTGCCTGGAAAAGCAGGCAGTCTGATAGCAGGCTAGTGGCTTCCTATAACATCTCTCTGCTAATAGCCAAATGTGGGCAATTGGAGAAAATTGGTGCTCCCTGCCACAAATGAGGTAATCTCTACTGTGCTGGAATGGGACCCCGTACCACTCAGCAATGACACCACAGCATGCAGAATGAATGAAATGGATACGGCTGCAGGGCAGCAGCTGTGTGCCACCTTAAGGGATTCTCTGTTCAGCCTTCAGCTGGATGAGACAACCATTCTGACAACGCTCTGTTGATGGCTCACGTCTGCTTTAAGGCCTCCAGCGGTGAGGACTTGGCTGAAGAGTTTTTGTTTTCAAAATATTTCAAAACAGACACAAAAGGTCAGACCATTTTCAATGCCCTTCATGGCTATTTACAGAAAAAGTCCATCCCAATAACCAATATCCTGGCATGCACCACTGATGGTGCCCCTGGATGGTTGGCAGGTACTGCAGCTTCACTGCTCTTCTTGAGCAGATCCCAAAGGTGCCGACAGTCCATTGTGTCCTGGATTGCCACAATCTTGTAACCAAAATATCGAGGGACTCCCAATGAGTCCCTCGAGTCAAGGCAGTTAACAAAATAAAACCCTGAGCCCTAAATGACAGACTGTTCCAACAGCTCTGCCAGGAGAATGATGAGATTTTTGAGTGTCGTCTTCTCCACACAGATGTATGCTGCTCTCAAGGAGAAATTCCCTTTTCTTTTTTTGTAGTCTGACTTCATTGTAGAGTTTCTGGAGTCGGTCAATGCAGCTCTGGGGGAACAGGTGACATCTTGTACCTTCCAGACTTCTTTGAAAAAATGAACAAAGTCACATTGAAGCTCCTAGGACATGGCGTTGCAGAGCAAAGCCGTCATCCACAGTCTCTGTCCGGGATCTGTACAAACAGCACAGGCAGAAGGAGTTGGTCACACAGGAGTATCTTGTTGATGTCCAGTGCATCGTCGAGGCCCAAGCTGTGTTTCCCACCTCTGGCTGGGGCAGCATGTGGTCCAGACATGCCGGCCGTTATCCTCTCTTTAGGAGAAGGTCAGGCTGCTTGTTTTCCTGACCACATATCTCATGGATTCACCCAGGTCCTCCACATTTAGTCCAAATACCGAAATTGTTTGGACTTGGTAGCTTCTGGTACGGCTGAAACTTACTTCTCTGCAGCTTGAAGTAAAGAAATTGTCAGAAAAGCTCTGGGCTCCCATTAGGATTTCAAATGAATTTCCTTTGAAAATCAGCCTGAAAATCCTGCTCTGTTCTGTGGTCTTCAGTGGCCGATTCTTTTCCGTTGGAAACAATTATTCTGCTCATTGTTTGGCATTTCTGATGGGCTGTTGTTTCATTAATACATGAATGGTAGATTGCTGGCTGTTTCTGATTGGTTCCTGTTTTTTACAGTTAAGTTAGAACTGAAATTTCTAAACCGTTCTGATTGGCTGAAGTTAGGTGTATCTAACTTAAGTTCAATTTCAGCTGCTTTTTCTTAAAAAAATATATTTGTGAAGAAGTTGTACATAGCTTTTATTCTTGAGCCATTTTTGCTTCCTGAGAAATTAATAAATCTTTCATCCAGTGAAGAAAAACATTTTTAATGCTAAGTTCAGAAATAACACTGGTCATAATATCAGCAGTAATAGTAGATGATTTCATTTGAACGGGCGGTGAGGGACCTGGATCAGTGGAGTGGAGCTGAGACCATCAGAGCCAGTGGAAACGGGCAATGAACATGTTAGACATTAAGTTCAGTGGAGAAATTATTTATTAATTTCAAAAGGAAATTGAATGTGTCATATTAACCAGCTGAGATCATAAACCTCAGAGATTCTGCCTGTTTCAGATCTTCTGTTTATTTATTCAGTTCCTTTAATAAATATTAATAACTGGTGACTGGATTTTCATGGCTGTTTTGATCAAAGTTTTTTCTAAACGTTATGTTGTGAGGAAGGCCCAAAATGAATCCTGGGGATTGTTGCCATCCATCCACGGGGATGGCATCGTCAGTGGCAGATCCCAAAGGTGCCGACAGTCCATTGTGTCCTGCATGGCCATCCCACATGGTGCGTGCCAGGATGTTTGTTATTGGGATGGACTTTTCCTGTAAATGGCCATGAAGGGGATTGAAAATTATCTTCATGAAAACATTTTTTTCGTTTCTGAATATCTTTACTGACTATGACCTTTGACCCTGATGTTCCTGCTGTTGGATGAATCTTCAGATTGATGGAGCTGAGCTCATGGATGAGTCTTCATCATACAGACCTACACTGATCACACTTTGACCTCTGACCTCTTTGCTCTGTGTTGTCTCTCCTTCAGGTCAGAACATCATAACAATCAAAGCTGAACCTGGAGATGACCGCATTCTGCCATGTAAAGCTCCTGAGCAGGAACAGATTGTAGCCATAGAGTGGGGCAGAACTGATCTGGGGCCAGAAGCCGTCCTCCTGTACAGAGATCATCAGTTTGATCCAACAAACCAGCATCAGTCTTACAAGGACCGCGTTGATCTGCTGGTTAGTCAGGTGCAGAAAAGAGACGCGTCTTTGATTCTGCAGAATGCAAGGACTAATGACAGCGGGACATATGAGTGTCGAGTCAAACAAGCAAATCATGAGAAGAAACTGATCAGCACCGTCAGCCTGGTTGTAGCTCGTCCTGCAGGTGAGTGTTTGTCTCTGGATCAGAACGCTCTGTGGTGTCATCCAGGGAGGGATTTTTCTTTGTGTTTCAATGGGTCATTTAATACAATTTCTGACATAAAATGTATGCATGGGCAGCCATGCCATACACAGAGAGTCTCTTTTTGCAATTCTCTGCAAATCAAAAGAGGCTATCTTAGAAAATATAGCCACTCCAGCTGCTCCTGTCTGGACAGAGCTAAGTCAGCAGTTGGAAAATAAGATGTCAAAAGCCCTATACACTATTGTAAAAATGAACAGACACAACATCTGGGCAACATTAGAAATAAATGCTCAAGAAAGTGACACTGAAAGCCCTGTGGACACAGAGTTTGACTCTGGCACTTCTGGACAACTTTCAGATTTAAGTTCCATTTAAAGAATGGGTTCAATTTATACCTGAAACTGTTGAATACAACAACAAGTTTTCAACATCTGGCAAAAGGAACTACACTGTTTTAAACCTGGCACTTGGACTCATGTCATTAATGATCTGGTGTGGAAAAAATTCAAACACACATGTACTTTTGTATTCCAAAGAGCAAAAGTTTATCCAACTGTCACTAATAAGTACATTGATATCAAAGACTTCTGTAAAGAGTGTCAAGGCCATGTTACAATGACATGCGACAGCAAGCCAGCGGTCAACAGCCCAATGGTGCTCCAGTGTTCCATCGAAGGTGCTGACATCTCCCTGCACTGGCCAGCCCAAAAGATGCATGTCAGGAACCCTTCGTGCACAATTTCAAAAGAGCTGTGTGAGGGTAGGATGGAGCCAGCTGGATGGAGGTCAGCAAAGGCATCAGAGTTGATGGCTTTCCAGACTGACCTACGAGACTGGGTGTCAAACATTTGTGAGGAGAGCAGGACACACGCTGCATCTAATGGGGATAGGGATAACATCAATTTCCTCCCTGAGATTGTGCCACACATTATAAGACTTGCAAGTTACTTACCACTGTGGACAGGAATAGTGGTTCCCCTCTTCAAAAGTACCAGCCTCACAGCAAGCTCAGCCAATGTTGAAGCAGAATTCAAAAATGTAAAACATGGCCTCTTCAAACTTAAGAACTTACCCATTCGAGTCGACCGCTTCATTTCTAGGCATCTTTCCTTCATCGAAGGAAAGATGCGGATTTGCTCTGAAAAAGCAAAACAGGAGGAGGGACAAGTTGCATCAGCAGAAGTTACAGAAGCTAGCCCTGCATCCATAATTACCCACAATGCTGAAGGCAGCAGAAACATGGATTCTAGCGATGTGATGGAATCGGATGCCACCAGAAACCTTTCCACCGCAGATGAAAACTGGAGAGGACAAATTCTTCCACCCAAAAAGAGGAATAGGTCTTCATACCTGAGTTCCTGCACTGAATGGCTCCATGCAGATTCATCATCTGGGGCCAAAAGAGTGAAAGTGGGACTATTGAAAAATGGAAACATGCATCATCAGCCTGTTAAAGTTGGGACATTGTCACTCTCTGTGTTAAACACCTGCTCCTTTGATGCCTTTTGTCAGTGCTTATGCTGTACTTTCTGTGACAGCTCTGCATTTCAAAATCTTGTCATGAATGACAGTGATAACCCACTGCTGCAGCTGGTGAAATCCATAACTACAGATGGTGTGACCCCGAAGACATACTTGCAGAGGGCAGATCTGCTTAGTTCAATGTTTGCAAAAACACAGTTGAGGTCTGGCGCCCACCAAATTGATGCACAGTGCAATATTTCCACTATTATTGGGAAGACAAATGAGAAATGTATCAAGCGTTTACCTCTCAAAACTCTGCTCTTCACAATACTGCCACCTAAACAAAGGAATGAACAGGGAAGTACCATTTCTTTTACCAGACATTTCTGTCCTGAAGGATTCTGGCATGGGTTACACAGCAAATTTGTGAGAGAAAAAATGTGGGGAGAAAGTTTGAAGACTAGGCTAAAGGAAATAGCGTCATGCTACACATGGACTCCACTCCGGGTCGCTCCTGGAACATCCTGTCATTCTGATCAGTTTTTTTCTTTTTGCAAGAGTTTTCTATTCAAGACAGGAGAAATTAATTTCCAATTGCTAATACACTGTTTGTTGTTGTTTCAATTGTTAAAGTTCATTGTTCAAATCAACACCGTTTCTTATTTGACTGTCAACTTATATTGCATTTTAAAACCAGTCACTTCCATGGTTCATTACTTCTCAATTGCCTCACAAAGAAGATATTTGGGTGGATGAATAGCAAACCATAACACATGTATGGAAGTTCATGCATCACAAAAAAATAAATTACCAGAGATATTTTTCTTCTGTAACTGTATTGATTATGCCATGACTTCTTGGCATTATAGAAAGTACCTTTTCTATAATAATTAATAACTCAATTGCATAAAAACGACACGAAAACAAAACTTACCCACAGACAGGAATTTGCTGGAAGACAACTGATGAAGAAATGAAACAGGGAGGACAGCATGCAGCAGGTGAAATTAATTGTCCCCTAATTAGGTGAATGTGCTCAGTGAATCTTACACTCTGGAAGCACCAAATGAAGTAAAGTAAGATTTTGTTGGTATATTTAGAAAATAGTAAGAATAACAATAATAGTGTCATCTCAAATTCTCATTTCTATAATGAGAATTTAGAGTGATCTAATGATAAGAACAACCCCAAACTCATTTTCAACCGTTTTCTCAAACAAACGTTACATCTGAGATTCTGAGTTTCATGTTTGAGATACCAACAGTGTTTTCACATCTTAACATTTTGATCAGATCTTTGGAACACATCTGTAAATGTTGCACATTTCCTTGAAATTAAAAATAAATCAAAAACCTAAAAGTTGCAAAATTGTGGAGCTCTTTTTGTGGCTCATCTAAACAATTTATCTCGAGCTAAAAGAGCGTGCTGTATGAAAGAGCGGAGGCATACAGTCATGGCCAAAAGTTTTGAGAATGATTCAAATGTCAATATTTACAAAGTCTACTGCTTCAGTTTTTATAACAGCAATTTGCATATACTCCAGAATGTTATAAAGAGTGATCAGTGTAACAGCAATTAATTGCAAAGTCATATTTGCCTAGAAAATGAACTTTATCCCCCAAAACATATTTCAACTTCATTGCAGCCCTGTCTTAAAAGGACCAGCTAACATCGTTTCAGTGATTGCTCCATTAACACAGGTGTAGGTGGTGATGAGGACAGGGCTGGAGATCAATCTGTCATGATTAAGTAAGAAGGGAGTAGTGATGACCTCTGACCTGAACCTTGCAAGCCATATAAAGACAGTTACAAAGTCGGCCTTCTATCACCTGAAGAACATCTCCAGGATTAGAGGACTAATGTCTCAGCCAGATCTAGAGAAACTCATCCATGTGTTTATCTTTAGTCTCATTGATTATTGTAACAGCATCTTCACAGGCCTGTCCAACAAATCAATCAAACAGCTGCAACTGATCCAGAACCAGCTGATCCAGAAGCTGCTGATCCAGAACAGCTGATCCAGAAGCTGCTGGTCCAGAAGCTGCTGATCCAGAAGCTGCTGATCTAGAACCAGCTGATCCAGAACCAGCTGATCCAGAAGCTGCTGATCCAGAACCAGCTGATCCAGAAGCTGCTGATCCAGAACCAGCTGATCCAGAAGCTGCTGATCCAGAACCAGCTGATCCAGAAGCTGCTGCTCCTGTTCTCACTAGAACCAGGAAGATAGAGACATAACAGCAGTTTTAAAGTCCCTCCACTGGCTCCCTGTAGCTCAAAGAATAGATTTTAAAATACTGTTGTTAGTTTATAATCACTGAACGGTTTAGCACCACAATACATCAAAGATCTGCTGTTGTTGTATCAACCTTCCAGACTCTCAGGTTCTGGTTCTGGTTCTGATCTGCATCCAGAACCAGAACCAAGAGAGGAGAAGCAGCTTTCAGCATCTATGGACCAAACATCTGGAACAAACTTCCAGAAAACTGTAAAACAGCAGAAACCCTGACTTCCTTTAAATCACAACTAAAAACCAGCTGATTAGAGTTTCATTTGAAATGTAATATGTAACAATGTATTGTCTATTATATGTTGCATGACTTTGTGTTCTTGTGTTTATGATGTAAAGCACTTTGAAATGCCTTGCTGAAATGTGCGATACAAATAAAATTTGATTGATTGATTGATTGACACCACTGGACACTTTAAAAAGAGGCTGGTGCTTGGCATCATTGTTTCTCCTCTGTGAACCATAGTTATCTCTAAAGAAACACGTGCAGTCATCATTGCAATGCAAAAAAGTGGCCCAACAGGAAAGAGAATCGCAGCTAGAAAGATTGAACCTCAGTCAACAATCTATGGCATCATCAAGAACTTCAAGGAGAGAGGTTCCATTATTGCCAAAAAGGCTCCAGGCGCCCAAGAAAGACCAGCAAGCACCAGTACCGTCTCTTAAAAGTGTTTCAGCTGTGGGATCGGGCTGCCAGCAGTGCAGAGCTTGCTCAGGAATGGCAGCAGGCAGGTGTGAGTGCATCTGCACGCACTGTGAGGCGGAGACTCTCGGAGCAAGGCCTGGTCTCAAGGAGGGCAGCAAAGAAGCCACTTCTCTCCAGGAAAAACATCAGGGAGACTGATATTCTGCAAAACGTGCAGGGAGTGGACTGCTGAGGACTGGGGTGAAGTCATTTTCTCTGATGAATCCCCTTTCCGATTGTGTGGGACATCTGGAAAACGGCTTGTTTGGAGAAGACGAGGTGAGCGCTACCACCAGTCTTGTCTCATGCCAACTGTAAAGCATCCTGAAACCATTCATGTGTGGGGTTGCTTCTCAGCCAAGGGAGTCGGCTCTCTCAGTCTTACCTAAAAACACAGCCATGAATAAAGAATGGTACCAGAATGTCCTCCGAGAGCAACTTCTCCCAACCGTCCAAGATCAGTTTGGTGATGAACAATGCCTTTTCCAGCATGATGGAGCACCTTGCCATAAAGCAAAGGTGATATCTAACTGGCTCAGGGAACAAAACAGAGATTTTGGGTCCATGGTCTGGAAACTCCCCTGATCTTAATCCCATTGAAAATTTGTGGTCAATCATCAAGAGACGGGTGGACAAACGAAAACCTAGGAGTTCTGACAAAATGCAAGCATTGATTGTGCAAGAATGGACTGCTATCAGTTAGGATTTAGTCCAGAAA